TATAGGCATCAACAGAAAGCTCTTAACCTCCTCTATAATCACCACGCAACAACTCCCCGAAACACCAAATAATCTTGCCGAAATCAACTCTCGAAGTCGGCCACTCAAAAATCTAAAAACCGTCGGAATCTCCACCTCCGACCACCCATTTGATCGGAACTCTTCACCAATCATTTGCCCACAACCAGAAGATACTAACCATCCCATCAATTTAACCCAAACAACACCACAGGACACTGAATTAACTCTACAAGTTGTTCTTCGCGCGGGCGGATTTGGGCCAAGTTGAATTCGGATGATTTATTGTAAATTGGCTCAATTGTGATGTGACCCATGTGTTTTCCTTCATCAATTGCAAGTTGGACAGGTGAATCGAAGATTTGTAGTACAGAAACTTCAAAATCCGTCGACCCAAACTACTTGCAAAGTGCGCAAACTGCAACCATAAAATCGTGGCGTTCACGGAACAATTGGGCTTGACCTAGGGGTTGGGGATGTGTGCCAAGAGATGAGGAGTCCAGCCCATGTGATCCGCGACCATGGGTCAAGCTGTCGGCTCCGGAATCATGAAAGTTCGGACCTTGCAGAATGTTCTTCGCGTTTGTTATTTTTCTGGGTTTAATTCAGCATGTTGTGGTGTTGTTTGGGTTAAATTGATGGCATGGTTAGTATCTTCTGGTTGTGGGCACATGATTGGTGAAGAGTTCCGATCAAATGGGTGGTCGGAGGTGGAGATTCCGACGGTTTTTAGATTTTCGAGTGGCCGACTTCGAGAGTTGATTTCGGCAAGATTATTTGGTATTTCGGGGAGTTGTTGCGTGGTGATTGTCGAGGAGGTTAAGAGCTTTCTGTTGATGCCTATATCTGGTGGTTTTGGTGGTCGGAAAGTGGCTGAAAATGGCTCCGAAGTTGGCGACTGGTTGGGGGCAAAAAATTAGTATCATGTGACTCAAAAGTAGGTTTTAAAAATTTGGAGTTATCATTTCAATTAATTCTTTAGTTTTTCTTTTCTTTTCTTTTTGTTTCAATTGAATGAGGGATAAAATTGTCAAAAAGTTGTGAAAAGGACGTTCAACGCACAAAAAGTTGAAAGTATCGGCATAAATGCCAAGAAATGAAAGGTAGGGACGGTTTCCAAAATCAACCCCAAAGATAGGGACGTTTTGTGCTAATTAGTCGAAAAATAAAATAGAAACCAAAAGTCAAAGCCAAAACCCGAAGTTCCCAAATCATCTCCAAATGCCACTCCTAACTACCAAAAATATCCAGTCAAACATAAAACTTGAAGCCCTTGAAATCACCATTAACAAGATAGAAGCCTATGTAAAAAATGGCATTGAAATCATGATCCCCATATCTTTGCATCCCTTTTAGAAATCTGCTCTCATTTGAAAGCCATTGATCATGGCGTAAGATTTATAAACTTATATTCCAAAAAGATTTTTGTGTAAAAATGTGAGCATTTTATACAAGATTCTTCGGTGTACTATTGTAATGGGTACGCTGAAAAGGCCCCACAAGGTGTTTGATCAAATGCCTAAGAGAAATGAATCCACTTGCAAACTGGAGGTCAATGACATATCATACGTTTCTACAACAGAGCATTCTTCTGATATGATTTGCCCATTCTGCTTTGAATTCTATATTGATTTTGAAGATACATTAAAAGAGAAGCTTAATATTAGGGTAATTAAAAAAAAAGTTAGTTAAATAAAACTGTTTGGGTAGGGATGGCAACAGGATGGTTCAGGGCAATCTTCGTCGCCAAGCAAATCCCCGTCCCCCACCCCCTTACCCGTTTAAGGCGGGGTGAGGTCCTTGCCCCATTTATTATCCCGTTTATTTATTTATTTAAGTTTTTGATAAGAAATATGCTACTTGTACATAATACCGTGTCCATAACGGTATTCACCCCCTCATATGGAGGGTGACCACTTTGGATATATTATCACTCTTTTGATAATTTATTTTTATTACCCACATTCATTGGATTTAGACAAATAATTTTATTTGTTATTTTTTATTGGAACTAAATTTTCCATTTAAAGTATTGAATTCTAAAAAAAAAAAAATATATTAAACGAGACGGGGCGCCCATTACCTGTCCCCGCCCCTAATATCCGATTAAGCGGGTTATCCCCGCCCCGTTCGAGGTGGGGTCACTCGTGTATTAGGTTTGTCAGATTTTTTTGCTATCCCTGTGTTTGGGATGTATATTTGCTATATAGTATTTCTTAAATTATTTACCAAATCACACGGTATTTAATGAATTATCTAAGTCACAGTATGTTTTGAAATTTTATTTTATAATGATATAGATATGAATTTTTCACAAAAAAATATTGATACATTCAATTAGATTAGGGTTTCGTTTGATAGGGATTGTACAAGAGTTTCATGAGAAAGCAACTTTAGGTCAATTTTCTTAAAAAAAAACTCTTCTAATCAGGCAGTATTTTTAAAAAATTATTTAAATACGTTCAAAAACGAGTCTTTAGCCTCATAAGCATATTTTAATTTATTCAAAATTCTGTTCAACTTACCGTATTGCCAATTAATGCCCAACCAACGTACCGTATTGCCTTACTGAGGCGTTGCAGCTGCCACACAACACAAGAACAGACAGTGTAATTACTGCTGATACATCATACTATCCTTGTGTTTGGTTTTCCACATGGAAAGGAAAACTTGAAAGGGACCCAACCTTCCATTGTACCCTTTTTTTCCTCACTTCAATCCTTTTCCAGTAAAAAATCAGAAAGAAAATAGTGCAGTACTGTCTGAATTATTCAAACACTTCACCCCACCCAAATTGGACTGCCTTTTCAAGAAAAAGATAAAAAAAAAAAAAAAGAAGCCCAGTTTTTACTTTTTATTGGCCAGTACACTCCTGAAATTTATGTACATGTTGATCTTCTCATATTCCTACTGACTTCCCCCTCTTGGCCTCTTTAATCTTCCAGTAATTTATATTTACCATACTTTGTATGCAAGAAAAAGGACAAGTTATTAATGAATATAATTGATTTTAAAGTGAAAGCTTACCATTTTGTACAGGATTATTGCATTATTATTTTTTTAAAAAGTACAAAAACATTATTAATTAATCATATTGCCACGAATAACTGCGATAAGAAGAAAGGAATACAAGCCAATATACGTTTCTTAAACTCGATAAACAAGTAATGAATTGTACAATGAATTTTATGTATAAAAATAATACAAATTATTACCAATTGATCTTTTGTGAAATACGATGTAGGTTGATCCTGTTGTGATTGCGTTGTTGTACAATCTTTTGATTAATAATTCGGGTGTTGAAGACAGAAGGCCACATGGCTTGAATTTTAGGTATGTTGAAAGATTGATTTGCGTAAATCACCAAAATTTAGACTTAGACTTGAATTCGTGGGACTTGGATTTGAACACGCTTTTATTTGATTTGAGAAGGCTTTAATCTTTTTGAAATTTTAGGCCTTGCACTTAGATACTTTTGGATTAGTGTGTTTTTTCTTATACCAACTTATGATTTCTCTTCAACCTTAGGTCCCTATTTATAAAGAAATTTGATAATCACCTTATTTGATTAGATTTAAAATAAGTTTTGAAAACATTTTTTGTTTTCGAAAGTGAGATGGGCTTTTTTAAATGGGATGGGCTTCCTACGTGGACTTCTTTTATTAAAAATGGGTCACAGTAGATTTAGCTCTTGTTCGATCCCCATTATTTTTAAAATATTTTTTTTCTTTTTTCTTTTCAACCACACATTTTTCAATATAATATTATTACACGTAAATCCAAAAATTTTCCTTATTTTTCAATCACATATTCTCCATCAATTTATTATTTCAAAATACATGATTAAGAAAAAAATGGGTCTCAAACAGGCCATTAGGCTTTTTTGAAAAGTGATATTTTTTAGAATGTGTGATATAACTACAAAGAGACCAAGTTACGCTCTCGAAAATATGAAACTTGTGAAAAAGTTTCAAAAATCAGGCAATGACATTGATAAGAGGTCAAGGTCGGGTCAATGTCACAAATGCCACACAATTGTGATCACACTCATAAATTGCATAAAGTCACGTCACAAAGACACAAATTGTAATTCATAATTATGAACTTAGTCGTAAATACGCATTTTCTAAGTCACATAATATTTATTAACCACAAATTACCAATTTTATCAGTCACATATTATTTATTGATACCAAATTATCCATTTTATTGGTCACAATCACCAAATAATTGATCACAAACGTTTTTCATCCCATGCAATCACCACCACCACGACACTATAAGATTGTATTTTTCCTTTTTGGTGGCAATGATGTGTTTTGGGGGTGGGAATAAGATGACACTTTCTTTTTCTTCGTAGTTCTCTTTTTGGTTGGACGTGGGTGGTGGTGGTGGTGGATGGAGGCGGCGTCAATAAATTGTGGTGGCCTTTGGTGGTTGAGATCAAGGAAGAATATAAATTGAATTTCAGGCCTCTTTTTCATTCTTCATTTTTAGGGGGCTCATTTGATTATTTTTTGCTTTTTATTTATTTAAAGGGGAGCGCAAAATTGTCAATTTACATTATCTTAAAGACCAAAATGGAAAGAATCTGTCCAGAGTGATGAACTTTGCCTATTTTCTCAAAGAAATGGTATCATATAAAAGATTGGGGTATATTCCAAACTTTTTGGAAAGGCTGGGGACCAAAGACACAACTTTCCCTTATTTTATATATGAAATTTCTATTTTTCAAAAATATTTAAAAATCTGAATGCGTCAAAGAAAAGTGAACCGGCGTGGGAAAGGAGAAGTGCAACCGACCGGTTTTTTCTTCGTGTCTGAAAAAAGGAACAATGGCAACACTCCAATTTCCTTTAACATCACTTTTTTTATTCTATAAATCAAAAAAATTGACATGCCACAAACCCCAAAACCCAAACCCTAACTGTAATGAACAATTTCTACTAATCACAGAAAATAGTCGCTGATCAAAGAGGGCAATGGAGACTCACATCAATCACAACGTATTTGACAGGCGCCCTATAACCAAGTCCATAACCCCCGCTGTTAAATGGTTCAAAGAATGGTATAAAAAGTTCCTATATTTGTTTTTCCTATTGTGGGATTATTTTATGCATTTTTATTTTGCTTATTGGTTTATGATGTGAAGAGATTTGGATTTTCTGAATTTTGTCTGTTGATACGAATAGTATAGAGTAATTTTGTATCTGAACGTGATTAACTGTGGGATCATATATCCTTTTATCCTGATCGGTTTCGAATTTGTCAAAAAATGGAGTCTTGTGGCACTTGTATGTTTGTGTGAGATAGTTTCTCTGTCTGTCTGTATCGACCAATTCCGAAACAAAGATGCTTAGCTTCAATCTTGGTTGAGACAAATTGAACTGGGGTATTTGGGTGGATTTTTCTATGTTTTCGTGGGAACTGTTTCACATTGCTGTGGCAGCATGTAAGGGAAGATATATCACCATTGAAAGTGTTATATCTTAGTGATTGATCGAATTTGAAATAGTGAAGCACGATCATGTTCCAATTGCAAAACGAATAATAGTAATTTTCATGACCTGAGTGATCTGCTGTTTGAATTCATAAATTTACAAAAGGCAGCCTTATTCTTGGAAGATCATCATGGAAAGCCTATGAAATTATTTTCAAAGGACTTGAGTTTTATTTCACGACGGCTTTCAAACTGAAGTGAAGAATGAATGAAATAATGGGGTTGTGCGAGATGAGATGGTCATGGGTGAATCACACCAGAACACCACAGATTTTGGCAAGCTGCGTGCAGCCAAAATTAGTTTGCGCTGGGTTTAAGTGACTTATGTTTTTGGTGTTTCTACCCTGCTCCTTATTTTGACTTTTAAACCAAGAAGGAACTTAGAGAACATCCAAGCATTGTTATTCAATAAGTGACTAGGCTGATCTGATTTGCCTGATTTTTCCAGTATCTCCTCCACTCAAGTATTTTTCATTAAATGAAATCCTTATGTAAAGGTGGTTAAGTGCTACAAAATTGATTCTATGCAGAATGCTCACAGATGTCCTACTTACATATTTCAGTATGTTTTGTCAATGTTTCTAACGACATGCTTTGATTTGTTCCAGGGTGCCCCAGGATGTTGTAGCAACTGGTGGAAAGTGCTTTCTTTTGAAGTGGGTTAATGGTTAGTTTTATAGCTTTCTTCCTTTTCTTATTCACATGATTAGTATTTTGATAGAGTTTTATGCTGTTGCGTAATTACATGATCGAAGTGCATAAGAATAATACCCCACATTTTATGTAGAAAAATAGATGTTGGCTTGTGGCTGTCTTTTACTTGGTTCCTGAAACTTCATGAATTAATTTTGATTACAATTAAACTTGGCTGGAGAGATTAGTGAAATGGTAGAGTTATTTGTAAAATATTGCAGATAGTTGTTCTGTAGGTTTATTTCTTTTCTCTTTTTTGGGCTTGTTGTTTGCAATCACTTATGGCTTAGTTACGCGTGACTATTGTGCCTTTCACACAATGAAAACAAGGTTCTTTCTAAAGGATGACTCGAGCTTTAATATTGGTAATGAAGTTCCCCGACCATGTTGTCCATATACGTAACCTTGTCATAAGGAGGAAATAATTCGATCTCGACAAATTAATAGGAGTATGTCACATTTAGAGGACCTTGATATACTGGCTTTCCATTAACACCAGTGACATTTTTTTTTTTTTGGAAAACTGACAATATCCAACACTTGATTTCCATTTTATCTTCGATTGCCACTAAAATAGTTTGCTTTTGATTGATACTTCTGCGCAACTACCTGCAAACTCACATCAGACAGTCAACACATAATTGTGAAAGCCATTGAAAGGTGACCAAAGCACCATTAATGACGAAGTGACTAATAACTAGATTCTCCTGAATTGCTAGCTAAGCTAATAGTCTTAGCATCAAGGGGCACCTTTAGAAGATATGGGGCGGCTTTACCTTATGTCCTGTAAATCGAATTAGAATTAACAGCTATGTAGCACGGGATAAATGACTTTGAGTCTGCCCGTAGTGATGTTCGATTGCAATACTCTCTCTCTCTCTCTTGAACATCTGCTAAATAATCTATTTGTTTTTTGTCAGTATATTCTAGAAGTACGACCTTGTTGTGGAAGTCAATAATGGCCTTATAAGTGTGAGCTTGTGGTTAAATTTGACCCTAATGGTTCTGTCATATTTTTTAGAGGCCACCCAGAAGGCGATGAAGGAGAAGTCAAAAGAGCCAGAAGAAGTGGTGGAGCCGGAGCCTGAACCAACAACGGAAGTTCTTTTCCTTTGTAGTTATGATGGCTGTGGAAAGACATTTATTGATGCTGGGTCTTTGAAGAAGCATTCTCACATCCACGGGGAGAAATCATATATTTGCCACTATGACAAATGTGGAAAGGTAATATTTCTAATGTTTGGGGACGAAATAGGAGTTGTCCTGTTTTGAGACGAAGGCATACAACCTATGGGTAGGATAAACTTCACTATTTATATAGGCTTTACTGTAGAGCATAAAAGCATATTAGTCGTATTTTCCAGGACGTATTGAGGTTTTACTGTTAAAGTCCTTCTTACTTTGCTGACTTTTCAGAGAACTGATTGCTGACTACGGAAGTATACCTTATAACTACTAAAAAAAAAAGAATCTCGAAGTCGAACATGCTTGTGATTTCTAAAGATCGAGTACATACAATATCTACTTTACTAGTCATCTAGATTTATTTTTATTTGGGCGGTCTATGTAAGTGTGTTTTTGAGTGGGAACATATTGGAAATCTTTTGTTCTTCTGTTAGATGGGGATTTTAGGGGTGATATATCGTGAATTATGTATCCACAGAACTCACCCTTGCATAATACCCACCAATTACATGACATGCAATATCAGAATATATTTTTGAGGCTCTTTCTTAGCAGAGAAATGTAAATACTTAATTTCATCTTTAGATAAATATGTTTACAACTTTCATGAGAAAAGAAAGATCCTGGAAGCTTGTATACAAGGTATATGCAACAAGCTTACTGAGCTAGTACCAATAAATTACATCAAGTTATCTAAGCAAATAGAATGGAAGTAAATCATTAAATGTATATATATATATTTTTGAAAGAAACCCTTCAAAATATATCCTGTTAAGAAGAAATCATTTTGTGCTTTTTTTCTTTTTTATCACCGATTGTTGTGTTATACAACGTGAATTCATAAAAATAAAAAAGGAAGAAGAATTATTTCAACTTGTAAGTAATTCTGATAGATAACTTACTGGTTTGATTCTAAGATGCAAGTACTGCGAATAAACTCACAAACATTACTAATTAGGGCCTTAGATAATGGTCCAGTAATTGGTGTTGCCTACATCGCATGCAAAAGGGGTCTGATTTGTTTTTTGTTCTTTTTCATTTTTTTTCCTTTTTGTTCAATTTATTTGTGGATTTAAAGTTTTGAAATTACATTTCACTTCGACGCCATTAGCGTGGAAAGTCGTGACCTTTGAATTGAGATAATATAACTTGCATGATTGTCCCATTGATTGTATTTTCAGCATAACAATGTGGTTACATAGTTAGATTCTCCATTAGATGATTGGAAGTAATTTTGCCTCTCGGCTTTTTCTAGTGGTTCTTGACTAAAGCATTTGTTTGAAAGTATCAAGTATATCAAAAGGCTATTTGTACTTAATCAAGTGAACTTGCAATCCTATAATTATGTTACAGTATTTGCATCTAAATTTGGAGCTCGTTTGGCCCCCATTATTCCACATTATAATGAGAGGAATAGTAATTTTTTGGAGATGTGGTTAAAAAAGGAGGAATAGTAATTTTATTGGAGATTCGGAGAATGTGTGGTTGATAAGGAGAGATAGAAAAATGAATTATAATTTAATGAGGGCCAAAAGGGGGCTTTAATTGCTTCTGGTTTTTTATGCCATACTTCTATTGATGCTTTACTAATTATGTTCTTTCCAAGTCTGTCAAGCATTACTCACCAATATCATGGCATTTTTTGCAGAAATTTTTGGATAGTTCAAAACTGAAAAGGCATTTTTTAATTCATACTGGAGCGAGAGATTTCATATGCCCACACGATGGGTGCGGTAAGGTGAGTAATTTGTGTGCCCTATAGTTCGTCCAAAACATATCAATACCCCCACCTCGTCCCCGTGAGGGGCAGAATTGGGGATTATTGTATTCGAGGCCACATTGCAAAATATAGTCTGTGTTCACTTCTGGTACACTGTAGAGTGTGAAGACATCCATTATAATTTGGTTCTTGCTGTAATCCTAAAGAATTTCTCAGTTTTAATTTGTACTTTTTGTCATGCAGGCATTCTCCTTGGATTTCAATCTAAGATCACACATGAAAACTCATTCACAAGAGAATTATCATCGTTGTCCATATCCTGAATGTGCTAAACGATTTGCACATGAGTACAAGCTGAAGAAACACATTGCATCTCTACACGAGAAGGTTGATACTTTGATTTTCCCTTTGCTATTTTTTCCATATTCTTGCTTGGTGCTTTATATCACGACTTGGCATTATTAGATTGTTTTTGTTCTCCACATTTCTTGGAAATGGAAAGTGTTGCCTTTTTAAGACTAACAATCTATGGGATTGGTCCTGATCAAATGGAGGATAATCTGCTTGAGTTTGATTTGATTTCATCAAACTCAGCTTTAGTTCATTCCTTGAACTCCAGAATAGAGCTGTTCCCCTTTTTAAGTTTTTCAGATGTGATTGTCTTTACTGCTTTATTTTGTATTGAATTTTAATTCTGGAAATGTTTTTCATTAGAACGGGGCAGATGAAGCCAAGTATGTTCAGCCTGCAGAAAAGCTGGTGAAAAATCCAAAATCTTATGCAGGAGCTTCTGGCGCCTCATCAGCTGACCGTCCGTACACCTGTCCATATGAAGGGTGTGAAAAGGCGTACATCCATGAATACAAGCTGAATCTTCACCTAAGGAGAGAGCACCCAGGCCATTTCCCTGACGAGATGGATGAAGCTAGTGATCAAGATGCACGTGCTGGAAAACGTGGTGGCAATGGCAAAATTCAGAAAAAAAGCAGGCCAAAACCAAATCTGAAAGTGCCACCTTCAAAAGTTTCTCGGGGGAAAAGCACAAGTGCTTCTCTGGCCAACTTGAATGCTGTGAAAAGACCTTGGCCGGTTAAAGAGGAATTGTACGACGAGGAAGATAGTGAAGAGACAGAAGAGGAAGGTGAAAATGTTGGAAAAGGGTTGAGATACAGAGAAAATAATGTGGATGACGATGAAGAGACAGAATACGAGGACTAGGCTGTTAATATTTTTATGTCACACATTCTTAGATTGAACGGCCTTTTTTTTTTTAAATATATTTCCTTTTGTACAGATATTTAGAAGAATAAAATTGTTGAATAATCTCTCTGTCATTTTGCTTATAGTTTACCTACTTGTAAAGGCATAGAATTACTTTATCCTATGTATATTGGTTATAATTGGGCGGTCAGGTGATGCAATAGAACTTGTCCTATGTTTACAATTGTTCATAAACAATCATAGTATTTTTTTACCCATGAATCCTGTACTACTTATTTCCATTTATTTATAATTTAAATTGTTAATAAACACTTCCTAAATAAGATTTCTCGCAGTGTGACATTTTCTTGAAATATGTTTTTTTCTTTTTTAATGGAGGCCACTAGGCAAGATTAAGAGCCAGTTTGAGTCACTTTTTTTTTTTTTTTGACAAAAATGCATTTTGGAATAGTGATTTGATGGAGAATGTATAGTTAAAAAATAAGAAATTTTTTTGGATTTGAGCGAAATATTATTTTATTAAAAAATATGTAGTTGAAAATAAGAGAGAAAAATATATTTTTAAAATAATGAGGATCAGACAACGGTTAAGTGCTTGTTTGTATTTGTTAATTTATAATTTAAGTTGGTTAAACTTTATTTTAATCCTAATATTTTTTTTTAGGATCCACAACTACTTATAACTTATCCACATTTAGTAGAAATCATGAAATCTCCACCACTCCTTTTTATCTACTTATAAGTAAGCCAATCGAAACATGTTTATAATCCAAACATGCTATAAGCTTGTGGGCTTGGACCAGGACTCAAGTGCGGCATGGACATTTGTAGTGTCATGAGAATTGTCAATCACATTCTTTGCCCTTGATTCTTTTTCAATTCGAAAATGTTTTTGTATTTATTTCAAAGAATAATGTTTGGAACTATGAATGATTTTCTAAGAAGTTGGCAATTTCGCAATAATTACTCCAATGTGGAAAGTCTTGAAAAGTTCAATCATCACCACCTTCATTTTGTGATTCTCGATTTGGCTTTGAGGTGTTCGCTCAGTTCATACTTTTGAAGAATACCAAAGAGGACTCCGAGGGTTGGAAGCTCGAAGATTGTAGATCAAGTTCAATGTCGAAATTGGAGCAGGTGTTAACTAGTTCAGAATTCGAATTATAATTAATCAATGACAATACCACAATTCTTTATATGATTAATTCATTAGTTATAATGTAATCTAATGTCTAGTAAAGATTCTTGTATCAGGAACTTATTAAATTTTTATTGCCCATGTTTTTACTTATTTTCCTACAGACATGACTCAAGTGAACAAATGGTAAATGAAAAAGAAACCTTATCTACAGTACTACTACTCGAACAAACACGATAGCAAAAAGGGGACAAGAAAGAAGAAATAATTATAAGGAAAGAAATGCAAGAAAAGAAGGCAAGTTCTAATTTAGCTACTACTCATTCAGTAATCACTTTCTAACTTGTTTCTTCAATGTCGACTGTGTTAATGTGTTCGTTTGTATTCTAGGAAGATGAGAATGATGCACATATATTTTCTTTCGTATTTCAGAGTGGAATATCAATGTTCTCAATAATGAAATTATCCTTAAAGAACTCGAGTGATGACTATGTAACAATTTAGAACTTACAGTTAAGAAAAAAATGAAATCATAATACCGTGACTCAAATTTTGACAGGTATTTTCAGGGACTTCACGGCCCGAGAAGCTTTTTCCATCTGGCGTATCCTAGAACCAGAATAAATAGCAATACACAAGCGGCTGTCATAATTCCAACACAGAGGCCGAATATCCCATTAATATTATACAATGTGCAAGGGATGTTCATGCCAAACCATCCAGCCATCATAGTCTCTACAGCTATGGCAAATGATGCAATTGTCAATGTCAATTGCAGTTGAATAAGTTCGTTTCGCTGATTGTCAAGTTGGATGTTAACATAATCCTCTGTGTCATCAACGTATTCCCGTACCTGGAGATTTCACACATAAAAGGAAAAGAAAAATCAATTAACTTTAGAAGCACAAGAATATAAAGAAGATGATAGTTATGCCTCAGAAATAGTTCCCTCTAATAAGCAATTTAATAAAAAGAGAAGTTGAAGTACAAGAGAGAGAAAAAAGTAAAGAGTTATTCGTGCCACTGGACTTTTCAACATTCTGCTTCTCTCTTAAGAAAGTAATTATGCAGACAGAGAATATATTCTAAAAAAAAAACAAACGACGGAGAAGCAAATGATTAGCTTTTGAAATTCGTTTGCCATTCAATTTCGGATTGTCAAATTTAGAAGAGCCAGAGGTTTCAGTCAGCATTGCGGGTTATTCAGCAGGATCAGTGGCCAAATAAGATGCTGATTTATCAATGTCAATCCTACATAGAAATTCCACATTCCACAATTTTATTATCTTCCACAATCTAGTTGAGCACCGCGAGGATTAGTCTTAAATAGTAAATATGAGGTGACACAGGACAAATTTAGATAATTGAGCAGCTGAAAAGAGGTGAGAGAACCCCCCAAAAAAAATGGCAGAAGACCTTCGAACAAAAATATGTATAAAGTTCTATTAGTGATGTTAAAAAAATCATAGGACTGCAATTGTCTTGGAGGAGACACAGGACAAAAGTTACATAGTGAAGCAGCTGAAAATGGGCGAGAGAGCAAAAAAATGGTTGAGATCTTCGAACTAAAATACTATCAAGTTCTATTAATGATAAAAAAATCATACAACTGCGATAGTCTTGGAGGAGACACAGCCACACAGGACAAAAGTAGTTAAGCAGCTGAAAACAGGTGAGAGAACCAAAATACTATCAAGTTCTACTAATGAAAATTTAATAATTGAAGGATTGCGATAGTCATGTAACTTACCTTTAACTGTTCAAAATACTTCCCTACGAGGGGGGAAAAAAAGAGGGGAAAAAAAAGAATGTCGTGTGATAGTCAAGGATAGACTTACAGACAGTATCTTGTTACGAGTGCCATCTAGTTGCATGAAGTAAGCTTCAAGTAACATTTCTAGCTCCTCCACGTCATTGTTATTTAGATAGTTGCTCACCAAACTATCACTTCTTGTAGAGCTAAGTCGTCGGAGATGAGGTACAGAGGGAAAAATGCCTTTTGCTGCCATTTCTCCCATCAAAGCCTCAGATTGCTGACTCTGTATCCACTTCCTTGTTAAGTATAATTGACCCATATCTTCATCGTCATCTAAAAGATGTTCGATCTCATCTCTCACCTACCACCAGACAAACGTTTGTCCCTTCGTTAGCATATCGGATGAAAGCAATCTACTCATGATTCGCTAAGAATTGATCTCACTATTTAGAACTTAGCAAAATGTGCTAAAATGTTGATAAGACAATCCAAAAAGGAAAAAAAAAATGCCTTATTGGAAAATCTAGCCAAAAGATTTTAAAGACTCCGTATGCATGATAAAGGGTGCACTATAGATTTTGATATCAGATGTCAATCGAAGGAAGATATATAAAGCTGGTAGTGGTTCCAGAATGCAGAGCCAGCTGTAGATAGTCTAAAAATTTAAACAAGACTCGGACAAGGCACTTGAAGTCTTGGACCATTTCACCAGCTCTTATTGCTTTCGAGATGATTAGTCGATGTAGAGTCAATGCCAATACAGGCAACCACTACAGCCTTAACTACCATTTCAAAACTGACCTTAAAAGTGCGTCAATTGGATAACCCCTTAATTTCATATTCTAGCCTTTCAGGTGATGTTGGAACAAGCACTAACTTCCCTCTGCACACAAATATCCCCTCTTCCAAATGAAGGGATGAACTTAACATGATGCCAGCATGCACTACAAAGAATAAGCTGCAACTATGGCATAAGCTCGTAAAAGGGCAAAGATGCACAAACAATTGATGTGCAAACATGAATCGTTTACGAAATGAAACCCGTACAATAGCTCCTGAAGCTTAGCTCTAATAAAGTTGAGTATCTTCAAAAGACTCTTTATTTATAAAGAGCATCTTATGTATTAAAGAGGGCATCTTAAAATTTAGAGGGTCAAAATTTTTACACACGCCAACAAGCTTTCTATTTTGGTTATTCATTTTGTTTTTCTCAAGAAACATTTATTGATTTCCTCGTATTTTATTTAACATAATTTTTTATATGTCAATTGATCAATCAATTTAAATGCGGTTCGAATAGTTTAAGAAGTAGAGTATTGAAATATGTGATTTATTAAATGCAATCATTATAATTAAGAATAGAGAGTGAATTTGGTTTTGTAAGCTTGGAGAGTCAAACTCACTCTCTGTTTTAAAAATTTAAAATAGATAGTCTCTTGGAGCCCATTTTTAAGCGTTAAACTCTCTAAAATAAAGAGTATTTTGTATTTAGAAAGTCTCTTGGAAATGTTCTTAGAGCGTGTATCTCAAATAAAATTACTATTAAATAGACAGATCATCTAGGACTGTATTTTCAGGACATGATTATTTAATCCATATTCGACAAAGTCTAAAATCTTAGAAATTGGCATAAGACGTGAAAGTTATTTATATTTTGCTAGTCCATAATTAAGGAAGATATACAGTTGTCCTAGAGGATTCACTGGATCATTCGGAACCCATGCTGATGACCCACAAATTATTTATGTCAAAACAAGCACAGCAAGCCTACAAATGACTTTCAAGCTAAAGCCATGAAAAAGTTTCCTTGACCAGAAAAATGAAGATTTCACAAGGGTACAATGTAGAAATGAAAATATTGAAAATAGGCAGATAGAGAATAAAAACAAATCCATTCATTCCATCTCTTTCCGATGGTTTACCTTCTGTCAAAGAAGCTAAAGCCATGAAAAAGTTTCCTTGACAAGAAAAATGAAGATTTCACAAGGGTAAAATGTAGAAATGAAAATATTGAAAATAGGCAGATAGAGAATAAAAACAAATCCATTCATTCCATCTCTTTCAGATGGTTTGCCTTCTGTCAAAGAAGTTAAAGCCATGAAAATTTTTCCTTGGCCAGAAAAATGAAGATTTCACAAGGGTAAAATGTTGAAATGAAAATATTGAAAATAGGCAGACGCAAAATAAAAACAAATCCGTTCATTCCATCTCTTCAGACGATTTACCTTCTGTCAAGATGAGAGAATAAAAAGTAGGGAAGGGCATCCAAATTCCACAAAAGTGTCATTCCAAGAAATTAGAAACTGTCATGATCAAATAACAAAAGAACATAGACAACATCTTTACCTTTTGCACCTGCGCAAGCAATTGAGTGAGGTTGCTTTTCAAACTCCTCACATGCTCAAGATTCTTCGTGCTAACATTTCTGGCCAGTTCATCTAAAACAGGGTAAGCATCTCTCTCAAGTTCAGCAACACTGGAATCCAAATATGTACAGACCACCTCTAATGCGACTTCCAAAACCTGGAACTCAAAAGGAAGCTCAGCTTGCAAACCTTCAGCAGCTTCTGGAACTGGTAACCATTTTCCAGCAGTTGGAGATTGCATACCATTGTCTTGAGCGATCATTTGGTCTGGCATATTATTGTAAGAGCTTTTATGTGATAGAAGTTGCCTCAGCTGATCCACGAAAGGAAGCACCTCTTGGCGCAGAGGATCAAGTAACAATAGCTCTTATAAATTCCAAATTGACAACCATTGCCTTTTCCCTTGCTGCAAACAGAATGAGAAGAAATTAATTCCTCGGAGATATCTCCTCTCTTCTTGATATGGGGAGTGGGGGGGTGTATATATATATAAGTGTGTGTACACATATTGACGTAGAACAAAATCAAACAAAGAGACTAGTAGAAGAAGGGGAAAGAGAGGGGAAGAGAAGAGGAGGGTGGTGGAAGGGGGAGAAGAATCAGAGAAGAGATAGAATTATCACAGGTACAAAATATCAGTTTACTCATTAGTAAAAACCTACCCGTTACAATGCATAAACCCTCTTTATATAGCGAGTAACCTAATTTAAGTAGGAAAATTCAAAATACTTCCCTACGAGGGGGAAAAAAAAGAATGTCGTGTGATAGTCAAGGATATACTTACAGACAGTATCTTGTTACGAGTGCCATCTAGTTGCATGAAGTAAGCTTCAAGTAACATTTCTAGGTCCTCCACGTCATTGTTATTTAGATAGTTGCTCACCAAACTATCACTTCTTGTAGAGCTAAGTCGTCGGAGATGAGGTACAGCGGGAAAAATGCCTTTTGCTGCCATTTCTCTCATCAAAGCCTCAGATTGCTGACTCTGTATCCACTTCCTTGTTAAGTATAATTGACCCATATCTTCATCGTCATCTAAAAGATGTTCGATCTCATCTCTCACCTACCATCAGACAAACGTTTGTCCCTTTGTTAGCATATCGGATGAAAGTAATCTACTCATGATTCGCTAAGAATTGATCTCACTCTTTAGAACTTAGCAAAATGTGCTAAAATGTTGATAAGACAATCCAAAAAGGCAAAAAAAAATGCCTTACTGGAAAATCTAGCCAAAAGAATTTAAAGACTCCGTATGCATGATAAAGGGTGCACTATAGATTTTGATATCAGATGTCAATCCAAGGAAGATATATAAAGCTGGTAGTGGTTCCAGAATGCAGAGCCAGCTGTAGATAGTCTAAAAATTTAAACAAGACTCGGACAAGGCACTTGAAGTCTTGGACCATTTCACCAGCTCTTATTGCTTTCGAGTTGATTAGTTGATGTAGAGTCAATGCCAATACAGGCAACCACAACAGCCTTAACTACCATTAGTAAAAACCTACCCGTTACAATGCATAAACCCTCTTTATATAGAGACATTGGATTAAATTCATCCTTTTCAACTAAATGAATAATATAAGATACTATAAAATCTAAAAAATAAAATCCTAATTACTTTTCCTATAAGTGAAGTCTTCCTAGAATACATTTAACAGGATCTCCATCACATGTACATACGTATACTTATACATACTAGGAGGTAATGATACGTGCAACCATACATATGCTTGCACCCTAGAGCTTTCAAGGTACAATCACAAATGGGAATTAGCATGGATGGCCAAAATGAGACTCAACTAATGGATGTAGCATATCATAAATGATTTGTAAAGTACTGCATCAACATATGGATTTAACCAATCATAAGTGATCTATAAAGTATGTACAACTCTCAAAACATATGTAAAAATTTATTAAAAATCGGTAGTGAAAGAACACTCCATAGACTCCTGATCATATATGGTGAAGCAGAACTAAAAGAGTACTTCTGTCTTATTTTGATGTAGAATTAAAAGAGTCCTTTTCGTGTGACTACAAAATGAATAACGCTATTCATCATAATCTAGGAGGCAATGAGCCCCATAATTCATTGCTTAATGCATCACAAGTCCATTGGACAATGAAACACGGGCTCTACTGGCACCTAGAACGGTGATTATCACAACTATTACTTGAATAACATTAATTACAAAAATATAGCTTCTTCTTTAATTTACAGTATTTATTTCTTTGACTTGTTCAAAGTGTACAAATGTGGAGGATGCTAGAATTAATACTGACACTAAATATGGATCAAAGGTCCACAAAATCACAGTTTGATCACCGCATAACCAAAACTAAATGAGCACTGGATTTATTCCTTCTTTATCGTACATCAGAAATATAAATATTCTCTCATCACTCAATCACCCAGTATAGGAAAAAAGTGCCTGAACAAATGTGGAGGATGCTAGAATTAATACTGACACTAAATATGGATCAAAGGTCCACAAAATCACAGTTTGATCACCGCATAACCAAAACTAAATGAGCACTGGATTTATTCCTTCTTTATTGTACATCAGAAATATAAATATTCTCCCATCACTCAATCACCCAGTATAGGAAAAAAGTGCCTGACTGATTTTTGCAGCATGGTCAGAATATAAAACAATCAATCATGCTACATGTACATTATCTTTTACATGTTTCTTTATATTGTGCCACATGGCAAACACTATTGGACATTATCATGCTACAGTTTTCCCATTCAATCATCACTTGCCAACACACACAATATAAACCATCAGGTCAAGAAAGAATGTACAAGGAGCATAATTGATTAGAGAATGTCCTTTTCACTGAATTTTATATTTCTTAACCAGGATATATGTTAACAAATTTAAACTAATCATATTATTCAAATTCATCAAAATTGCAGAGCAAGAAACACGAATCATCTACACGAGCGCATGTACACATCAAATTAGAGAGGAGAACAAGTGAAATTGGAAACACCAAGGATGCAAGAGGAGTGAGAAAAGATCGGTCCGAGGATCCTCAAGTCCCTAGAAGGAATTGAGACGCGCTTCAGAATAACACTTTTATCGCACTCCATCAGTTCTGAATGCCCCCAGCGGTCCATCCTCATCCAAAGCCTCGCCCCTCCAGCCTTTTTCTTCCCCGCCACCGCCTTGGCCGCCGCTACCACGGAATTTTTAACCACCTCGATTGTCAGCCGCGTCGGTTGAGACACGGGCTTCTTCTTCCAACGAAACATCAATTGGCCGTTCCCCTTACCCATATCCTCACTCACACTAGATGTTTTCTTTTTCGTTTTCCTCCATATAATACAGAGAACTCTCCCGGGCAGACAGTTGAAAATATATTTTTTTTAAATCCCATATTCTAGTAATTTTTTTTATCACATCCATAATTTTTTTTTATTTTTTAACTACGTATTTCTCAACTTACTACTATTTAAAATACATTCTTCCCTCGATAATATCCATTAAACACGTCCTAAGATTCCAGCCTTTAAGATAAAGATTTTGTTAGAGGGAGAATTATGTTACAAAAGCTTTAGTCAATGATTGATAGCCTCTCTTTTCCATTGAAAATGGAAAACATTTTCCTTTTCCATGCAAAAGATCCAAAGCCTCGCCCCTCCAGCCTTCTTCTTCCCCACCACCGCCTTGGCCGCCGCTACCGGAATTGTTAACCACCTCGATTGTCAGCGGCGTCGGTTGAGACACGGGCTTCTTCTTCCGCCGAAACATCAATTGGCCGTTCCCCTTACCCATATCCTCACTCACTCTAGATGTTTTCTTTTTCGTTTTTCTCCATGTAATATAGAGAACTCTCCCGGGCGTACAGTTGAAAATATATATTTTTTAAATTTCATCTTCAAGACTTGTTCTTGGATAAAATAATATTTTTCATCAGTAATAAATTTTTTTATTTTTTAATTACGTATTTCTTATCGTATGTTTAAATACATTCTTCGCTCAATAATATCCATTAAACACATCATGAGATTCCAGCCTTTAAGATAAAGATTTTGTTAGAGGGAGAATTATGTTTCAAAAGCTTTATTTTTTTATTTTTGTTGTAAAAAACTGTCAATTTTTTTGTTCAAATTCTAGGGTTTTGGGGATGGATTGATAATTTTTTCATGAAAAATGTTTTCTAACTTTGGTTGCTTCGAAAACAAATAAAACATTTTATCTAAAGAGAAGTGATTTTTATTTTTCAGATAATTCACACTTTTTCTTTCTCTCTTGTACTCATTCTCTCTCATTTATCCATTAATAAAAAAAGGACAAAAATACAATATTTTTTAAGTTGAAAATTAAATCAATCAAACAAATTTAATTAATAGTTTTCATATTTTTATAAAATTTAAGAATATTTTTTCTTTCCATACAAATTATATGCTTGCAATCAAACTGATCCTACGTGTAAATTCTTATTTAAGCCGGTCTTGCTAAAATCAAATGAATTAAGTTATTTGTACAATGATAATTGACAAAAATTGTAAAAAAAAAATGTTGGAGGTGGCAGAATTCGAACCAATGATTTTAAAAAAGGTTTTTGACAATTTTAGAAGTGAATGGACGAGATGATGTCAACAAAATGTTGTCATCCTTGAATGTACAAATAAGATTGTACAAGTAGCATGATTGATTGAAATCAAATTTTTATAAATTCGTAAAGTATGTAATTAATAAATTGATAAAAAATTTTAATTTTAGAGTCCCATTTTATCAAAATTCATTTTCAATCATATTTTTCAATAAAATAATATTACACGTAAATAAAAAAAAAATCTTCATTTTAACCACAAATTCTCCGAAAATCACAATTCAAAAATGCATATTTCTCTCAAAATGGGGCTCAAACAAGGGTTGAATGTATGGATTAAAACGAGTATGAAAAAACAAGTATTGAAAAAAGGATAATTGTAGCTGCGCCTCCAAATCTTCTAAAAACATTTTATTATGGAATTAATGGAAGTTTTTTTTGTAGATTTTATACTCTTTCATTTTAAAACTTTTACAGAATTCAACAGATTTTTGAAAACTCTTATTTAAAATAGAATTCATGTGGATTGGGTGAAACATTGTGAAGTTCTCACATAGGATGTGGTGGTTCTTATAATTCAATATTGTCAATATGACATACTTTTTAAGAGTATACTAGAAATCAATATATTTAAAGGATTAAAAAATGAAAGAGAAATATTAAAAGAAAAACAAAAAATATATAGTAATTGTCTTTCGGTGAAAATCTCCCAAAATCTTAGGATGAATGAAAGACAAGTTTTGAAATTTTATTTTTGTTTACTTTCTACATAAAAGTTACAAAAGTTTTTAAGTCATTGACAATTTGAATACCCCAAAATATATAAGGACTTCTAAAATTTTTTAATTGAATACACCATAAATTCTAAAGACTTTTAAAAATTCTGTAAAAATCTCAATTGAATACTTCAATACTTTTAAAAAGGCTCAAAAATTTATATTGAATATCCTTAAAATTTTAATTTTTTTTTAAAAAAAAGTCATTAAAATTTTCAATTGAATACACCAGCTGAGTAGGACTATAAATCGGATCTAAGCATATCCAAAAAGAATAATTATTCAATCCGATCCGATTCGATTATCCAATGAATATTTGATTGTTAAATCTATACCTGATTTGCTATGTCATCGAATATCTGATTTGTTATGTTATCGGATATCCGATTTGCTATATTATCAAATATTTGATCCGAAATTGAAGAAATTAGTAAAATAAAATTTTAATATTAGTCAACTTCTAAACTCTAAAATTAAAAGTCTTGGATAGCCTCTTTTTTTTCCCCAATTTTTGGCCCATCTATCTATAGATTGCAAATCATGTGATCTTCTAGTGACTAGTTAGTATCTGTAGGAAGTGGGGAACAATGAAAGTAAATTCCAATTGTTCGCCCTTTGTTTGTTTAATTTAAAAAGTAAATTAATTATTTTTTATTTTATTTTAATTAATAAAAATTAGAAATTCCAAAGATTTTAATTAACAACATTATACTATTATCTAATAGTATTTATTATTTGAAAATTATGTATAAAATTTAATGCAATTTTCAAAATGAAAATAAATTATGTGTAATAGATTATGCGATAATATATAAAATATATTATGTCCATGTTTGGTCTCCAGTAAAATTTTAATATATTTTTATCTCTATTCTTTTCAATCACTCTTCAAAAAAATAATATTATACGTAGATAAAAAAAATTCTTTTTTTAACTATACATTCTCCCAAAAATTACTATTTCAAAATACATTATTTTCAAAAATCTCATTATAGTGGGGGGCCAAACAAGGGCCATATTATTATAACAAATCAGATTGAGTTTTTATCGAATCGAATTGACTTATATCCATATTTGCTTCATTTAGTTATCGGATTCAGATCTTAATTGAATTATCGAATTGAGACCCTAAATTCATCTTCTATCAATTTCATCGGATTTGGATCAAAATTCAATCCATTTACAACCATACCCCTAAGTACTATTTTACTCAAAAAAGACTTCAATATAGTTTTAAAAAGTATTTAAAAGTTTCGATGTATTCAATTAAAATTGTTTAGAAGTTTCTATAAGTCGTGGAGTATTCAAAATGTCAATGATATTAAAAACTTCTACAAAAGTCTCTATGATGCTTTGAAAATTCCACTTTTATGTTTTTCAAAATTTTAAAATTTGTCTTCCATTAACCCCAAGATTCTGGGGACTTTCACATTTTTTTTTTTTAAATATACATTTTTTGTACTTTTAATATTACTCTTTTTCCTTCCGTCCTACAAGCCTTAGAACCATAGTTTAAAAAACATTATTTCTTCCTCCGGTTTTATTTGTTTTATTTTAGTTTTAAAAAATCTTATTACATTTTTTTATCGAATTTTAAATGTAAAATATCAAGTTATAGTTAAATTTTATATAAAATTAAATTAATTAATTTTAAATATATTGATTGGTTATTTGTTTTTTAAAGGTCTTACATATTGACAAAACTGGCCATTAAATAATTATTTATTTATTTTTATAAAAAATACTGAAAAATATTATATATATTTATTTTGATTATTTATTATCTAATTATATTAAATTAATTTTTTTATTTTTTAAAATATTTTTTTTTACTTGTGGGGGAGGGACGAAGCATTGATCATCCACCTTCTACATGAGAACTTCTCGCTGTTGTTTTAGATTCGAGTGAATTTTATAAAAATGAAATTCCCCAAAAATGAATTTTATAAAAGTTTTAAAATGAAAGTTTATTGAAGTCTACAAAGACCTTCATTAATTACGTAAAATATATAAAAGTTCATGAATTTATCAAAAATCAATCACGTAGAAAAACTTATAACTTAGAGAGTTATGACCGGACGATGGTCAACATAAAACTTCCACATTGATGACATGATTTTACATATTAGCCTTTGTTTCACAGTCATTATTTTCAAACTTTTTTTTCTACACTCATTTCCAACTACATATTCACACAATAAAATATTATACATTTAAATTCAAAAAATTTACTATTTTTTAATCACACATTTTCCTAAAAATCACTACTAAAAACTCTATTTTCCTTCAATTTTTAATACATCTTTCTCTTTATTCTTTTCAATAAAATAATATCATACGTAAACCCAAATTTTTTTTAAATTACACATTCTCTAAAAAATCATTATTTCAAAATACATTTTTCCTAAAAATTAACTTTAATGGAGCTCAAACGGAAACATTCAACCACAATTAGGACATACATATGTATGAGATATTACACCGATAATGTGCATATTATATTCATCAAGAGCATGCCGTTAATATGCGTGAAATCGAAATATCATTCGACTTACCGAAATTTGATTTGAGAAGATAAAATAGCGATTTACCGACTTCGAATATAATAATATGAATTCTTCACTTCCCAATATGAGTGAACGCATGTTGTTCTTCAATTCAAACCCTTCAATAAAACACAAATAAATTAACCATATTCTGAAATCAAGCATAAATAAAATCAGAAATGAGAAAGATGAAATNTTGGAAAATAGATCTTGAAAAATAGGGAATTGGGTAATTTGCACTTTTTTGAAATATGGTAAAGATAAAGTAGGAGAAATGAATTTTTCCCTAAATTAATAGTTGCTTCTACTGACCAATTTATTTTCATGTCGAGTCAATCATTAGTAGAGTTGTAAATATTTTACTCATTGGTTGAAACCTATGAAATTAATCCAATTGTTTAAATATCATAGCCCGAATTTTTTGGGTATCAACAAAATCCAACAATTAGTAAAAATGATCATCGTTGCATGTCGCAGCGCCTTTTCTTATTCATTATCCAATGGAGTTGTGCACATTTTAACGTATAGAATTATAAATTAAGGAATCCACGATCACTTGTTACTTGATTAATAGGAGTTCATCCAATGCTTTGAATTGTAAAATACTGGAACAAATATGGACATGATCAATTCTCAAATCTAGAACTTTTGGATGTGTAGCTTATGCACATCTACTTAATAAAAATCAGATCTCGGATCTATAAAGTATGGCCTTCTAGAATACGAGGAAGGAATAAAGGATTACAAATTATGGATAAAAGTATCTAAGGGTCCGTTTGATTGCAATGGTGGAAAAGCGGTGGAAAGAAAATGAATTTCGGGAAAGTAATTGCCTAGAAAATGTTTTGTAGGAAATTATTAATTAAGTGTGTTTGATTATTATAATTTTCCACCCGA